AGTGAACAAGACGCTAACCAATTTGGATTTGTCTCACAATGATATTAGTGATGCAGGTGCTACATGTATTGCTGAGGCAATCAAAGTCAACAAGACGTTAACCAATTTGGATTTGTCTGGGAATCGTATTAGTGATGCGGGTGCCACATGTATTGGTGAGGCAATCAAAGTCAACAAGACGTTAACCAATTTGGATTTATCTTTCAATGGTATTAGTGATGCCGGTGCTACATCTATTGCTGAAGCAAACAAAATCAACAGGACGCTAACTAAGTTGGATTTGTCTTTCAAAGGTATTAGTGATGCTGGTGCTACATTTGTTGCCTAGGCAATCAAAGACAATAAGACGCTAACTAATTTAAATTTGCAATTTGATTGCTTTCTGGCGAGGGGAGATATTTGACCCCAAAGTTATCAAAGATTTGGATGAATCGAAAAGTCTTAAGACGTAGTCATTTATTTCCTCTGTTGTTTGACAATCATCAATCAAATTGACTGATGCATGAGTTGCACATTAATTTAGGATGTAACAATATGTATGTAAACTATCAGAGTTATTGGTTAAATACCATCGCACTGAGAGCTTAATACATTTTACCTATTTTGAAGCGATTTCTTCGGTGAAAACCTTATTCTCAGGTTCTTCAACCCATCTGAAAACCAAGTTCTCTCCCCCTGAAAATAACCAAAACAGAAACCAGTTTGCCGGTTTGAGTTATGGGGTAGACCCTTTAAACTGCCAAAGTTTCATTGAAATCTGTGGGATTGCAGTAGAACGACTACCTGGTGCTCTCGTGAAGACGCTCCCTTTTCCCATCATTTCAAATGTAGAATTTTCCCCAATCTGTCCTTCAGTTTAAAGGAATATTAAGTTGGCTGTTGTGAGGGTTGAAGGAATAGGTACATTTGAGTTTAACATGAGGAAGACACTGAATGCTAATTTTGCTCTAAACTTTTTGTTCTTAGGTACTTCACCCCCATCATATATGTTCACCACCGGTCGTGAAAATGAACATGAAGAACTATCTAAAACTATGAGACTTCAGGAAAGAAAAGGTAAAGTGAAAAAAGAATGTGGAACTCAGATTAAGTCAAATCTAATATGAGATACTAAGTTTATACAGTAATAGGTGTTATAAATATTAGAAACATTTACAAACATTTAAGCCCAGGGAACTTGCTTGAGATAAATCTATATCACAACTTGTAGTTTTTATTATTTTAACATTGGCTGGTGAATTTTTTCTTCTGTCATAGGATGAAATACAACTGTATAGCTGCCCTTTAGTTCACGTAATATTCTGGAAGAGCACCTGAAACTGGAATATTGTTGGCAGAGTTTTCTTCAAGAGAGCAGAAATGTAGATTCCTTTCATAGGCTATCCTCTTTTGTTGAAGTGTGATTGACTCTCAATGGCTTCTTGTGATGTTTTCCTTGCTCCATATGGGTTATTGTTTACCTGGGTTTTGCTTTCTGTTGTGCAGCTCATTTAAGTTTCAATCTGATATAGTAACTCAACCTAAAGTCTTGAAACTTGAGATAATAGTCTTTACTTTGACTGCTTAATTTTTCCCATTCTTTTTTCATGTTTTCTTCTTCTGAAAAAAGAGTTTTCTACAAGGAATAACAAGATCTGTGTTGGGAGGTAAATATACTTGAAAAGTGGAGTGCAGTTATTAAATCTTTTGCCTGATTGACTGAACATAGGCATGTAACCTCAAGCTCCAGTCTCATTGCCTGGCTTCAACAAATATGTTCCATGAATTTGTTAGCAAAGTGAGAAAGAAATATCTGTGAGCGAGCTATGTAGCAATGTTGGAAAAGAGCAGATTTCTTCTTGTGAGCATTTTTAATAAACAATTACTCTCCTCAGGCTTACAGGAAATGAGATTATCATTACCAAATTGGGATTATTCACCTTGTTGGTTATTTATCATCTTATATTTGGCACGCTCCAGCAGAATAATAGTTAGATAGTGCTTTTGTTTCAACATCAAATTTGGAGTACCTAAGGTAAATAATTGAATCATGCAATTATGAGGTGGAAGAAAATTTGCCAGAAATGTTTGCATTGAACAGCGTGCACAGAGAGTTATTATATGATCATTTATGTTATTACTATTATTATTATTATTGTTAAATTACTGTTTTTGTTGTTTATAATGCCTTTTGTTCCGTCGAAAAGAACCAAAGAGCCAATACGGAAGAAGAACCGTATTCAATTTAATAACACAATTCGATCTTAAATACAAAGAAACCACGCTGGCACTCGGCCTTACAAGCGTAACTGTAATAACCTGGAAATCAACTGAAAACTTACTTCTTGACTGCCTCCGTACTTGTGGCAAATAAATGGTTAGCATAAACTGGTTGGCGTGGTTGAAAATGAACTGAACAACCTATCAAACCAGATTACGCGTCTTAAGTGAAACGTTTTACGCGAGAAACGTTGCGATAATTATTGCGATATATGAATTCAAACGGAGCGCGCGCTGAACGGTAAACAGAAATAACGCGCACGGTACATTTAACAATTAATTATAATAAAATGAATGTTCAGTGAAATTCCCTTCCTTTTCCCCTTCTTTTTGTATTTGATTTCACGTCTCTCATTTTACAGAAGCAAGATTACCGAGGAAGGAGGGGCACTAATGATCCAAAACGTTCCATCGCGTGTAATGATCCCTCCTAAAGCTCTGCCTACATGTACAGAGGTCACGTGTTCTTTATGGAATCTGCACATTCTATCACCACCCCTTGGAAGAAACGAGGCCTTAGTAAGCAGTGTGATGGAACTAGCCTGTGGAAGCATTCCTAGTACAGAGAAACGTTACGAGTTCAATGTGAAAGTGAAGTTGGCTTTATCCCACAGTGCTAGTGACACTAAAGGATACGAATTGGTGATCAAAGAATTGATCAGTGAGAAGACCAATGATTGGAGGGACTTGGAAACCAGATGGGCTTGGACACCATCAGGTGAAGGCTATGTTGGTAATTTACAGGGTGCAGCCATCCTTCTTTAGACAACTTGATCTCTTTCTTTGCACAAAACCACAAGCAACTTTGACTGTATAAGAAGATGCACAAGCTTGGTATTTCTTTCTTATAGACTTAGTTGTGATTGAAGTTGGTCGTTTTAATGTTCATTTTTATTTTATGTGATTGTCCAACGACCACTTCAGCTGTTTTACTTCTTCTGATATAACAATCGTGGTTGCCAGACACAAATTTAAAAATCTGTTTGTAAAAATATGACGTTGAATCAACAAAGATATATGATTGAAAATAGAGGGTTTCTTAGTTGTCACAAGGAAAGTTAACAATACCATCTGCCTCATTACAGATATTAAAGATGA